CAAACTTGAACGTCAAAATTATGCCATTTGGGCCGAAATGGGTTAAGGTCAAGGTAAACCTTTTACCTGGGATGAGACCATGAGCGAAATAATTGGAGAAAGGGTGATAAATGCACGAAGATTTTAAAATAAAATAAAATATAATTTGACCAACAATCTCAGAGCGGCAGTGTGGTCTAGTGGTAGAGCACCAGACTTGTAGCGCGGATAACCCGTTCAAGTCCACCAGATCACCAGAATTTTTATTCCAAGCTGCGCTTTTCATATGTAGAGTAAAAAAAGTGGGGACTCATATATGGGACGTCTTCATATATGGGAAACTGGACTCCACTTTTGGAAGAGAGCCATTTTTAAGCCAACGTTAAGCCATTAGTCCACGCACAGTCGGTAACCACTATGTGAAACTTCACGTTTTGGGAAAAATACTCGCCAACACGCAATGGCAAGCGCGGCGTTTTAGTGCCAAATTCCTTCCAAGTAAAATTGGAAGAGACTTATGTCTAGCAGTGGACGAAACAAAGCTAATGTTATCATCAATGATGATGATGATGAACAATCTCAGAGTTTATTGAAACAACAACAGGTTAACAACGTAAGTTACAAATAAAATGATAAATGAATAAGAAGTTTACATCGAAGTATATTAGCTAAATCGGAAAGTTTTATCCGTTTTTTTGCAAAAAGTATGGTTTTATTTAGGAAACAAAATGAAAAAGTACATTAATCAAAATATTGTCCATTGTTAGCGATGACTTTTTCCCATCTTTCGGGTAAGAAACGAATTCTGCGGCGAAAGAATAACTCATCTTTGGAAGTTATCTAGTCAGGGACCCATTTCTCGACGTCTTCATAAAAATTGAAGCATTCCTCAGCAAGTGCATGTGCCACCGACTTAAACAAGTGGTAGTCGGAATTGGCATAGTCTGGTGAATAAGCCGCATGGGGTAGCACTTCCCAGTGAAGTGTTTTTAACGTTTCCTTGACAAATTTTGTGATGTGAGGCAGAACGTTATGAAGCAAATCACTTTATGCTGTCTCGTTTCATATTCTGGTCGTTTTTTGTGCAATGCTCAGCTCAAACGGATAATTTGTTCTCGGTAGAGATGTCCTAGGACTGTTTGATCAGATTTTAACAGCTCATGATACACTACATCCTTCTGATCCCATCAGAATCAGGAGAGCATTGCCTTTCCGTGAATATTCCGCTTTGGCGCCGATGTTGAGGATTGACCGGGGTCGCAAATGGTTTTTCGACATTTGTTGTCAAAATATATCCATTTTTTAACGAAACGGGAAAATTTCTTTGTATTCCAATAGATCACGAGTAAATAGGCTTCAGAAATAAAAACGTGGTCGATGGAAGTATTTAACGACTAACGTTTTATTTCGTTGCATTATTGAAATACAAAAACAATTTTGTAGGAATTTCTTTGCGACTTAAGGAAATACGGTACCTAATAAATGTGATAAAGGTCAGTTCGAGAGTCAATCGTGAGAAATTACACACACACACACTTCAAATTACGGAACATTCATTACACAGTTTATATATATATATATATATATATATATATATATATATATATATATA